TTCAATTGTATTTCTACTTTTGGAATAACACCTACTTTATACTGTGTTTGTTGCCATTAACATAGCATAGCCTAAAGTGATATTAAAGGCAGATTAAAAAAAAACAAAAGAAAACAAATATGTCATACTTTCCTGCACTGTGCAGTGGTTTTGAACAGAGCAGCCCTGATCCTCTTCTTCTTGGGTCCCCCTCTGGCGCTCCTGTCCCCTCCCTCCTCCTGAGTGTCCCCCCAGAGCAAGCAGCTTGCTATTGGGTTAACTCCTGAGCCACTGCTCAGCCCTGCCCCTGCTCTCTCTCCTCATTGGCTCCCTGTTTGTATTTGACAGTAGCAGAAGACTGCTCCATTACTGTCTCAGCCAATGTGGAGGGAGAGAGCCGAGGCCCTCATGCACAATGCTAGATCAAGATGGGGCTCAGGTAAGCATTGGGGGGCTGCTGAACACATAAGGTATTTTACCTTCATGCATAGAATTCATGAAGGTAAAAGAACCTTGAGTCTTTAGAACCACTTTAAACATTTCTGGTTACCTTTTTAAAGGCTTTTTACTTGCTTAATAACCCTTACATGGGCTGTGGTTAACCCTGTCTGTGCTGTGTTTGGTGTTCTTCATTATCAGCTGTAAACTAGATTAGAACACTGTCTAAACAAAGGGTTAAAAATCATAGTGGTTCTAAAGGCTAAAGGTTAAAAACCTTTAGCCTTTAGAACCACTATGATTTTTAAGCCTAATGCATTATCTGCATTAGGGTAAAAACCTTCTGTGTTCAACTTCCCTCCAAAGCCTGAGCCTGATCTCGATCCTGCATTGTGCCCGAAAGCAGCAGCACTGCTCTCTTTCTCTCTCTCCTCACAGACTCAGAGACAGCAGCGGGAGGCATTTGTTCCTGCTGCTGTTACTCAAATCCCAGGGGCGGGACCAAACTGTGCTGTGTCTGTCAATAGACGCACGCAGCCCAGCTCAGGATTGAGACCACGCATCTACCCCCATAGCAAGCGGTTTGTTATGGGGGCAGATGGAGAAGAAGAGAGGACTTCACTGGCGGGGAACCCCAGAAGAGGAAATTTGGGGCTGCTCTGTGTAAAACCACTGCTCAGAGTAGGTAAGTATAGGATTGATCTCGCACGAATGACCCTATAGCAAGTGGCTTTCTATGGGGGAACTCAGTGGGGGATGCCAGGAGCGTTGTTGGGGGATCCCAAAGGAGGAATATGGGGGTTGCTCTGTGCAAAAGCATTACACAGAGCAGGTAAGTATGACAAGTTTGTTATTTTAAAAAATATATATTTGCAATCACTGTAATTTAAACCTGTGGGTTCCACACAACTATAAAAGGGACCTCCAGTCCTTCTGGAGCTTTCTGATAACTTTCAGGATGCCTTAAGGTTCCACCTGCAGGCTGTCATGCAAATCGTAAACAAAGCTTCAAATCTTAAACACCTTTTCTTACCCCCACTTTGCTATTTTCTTGGCCAGCAAATGCTGACCAGCAGGAAGATGGGCCAGGGCTTGACCATACAAGCTGTTGGGCTAATGCATAATGGGGCTGCTTTGGGGACTCATTGATCAGTGAATTACTACTGTTATTTAGCAAATACTGCAGTAGTGCTAAAATACGTTTTGTTTTAATTTAGTCCCATGCATTCAGCCTCATACAGCTCACTGATACTTGAATCTGATTGTTAGCTGGGAGAAAGGCAGGGGTTTTACTATCACCACATTGACAAAAGGGAATGTGGTAGGCATGTGCACTAAAGCTATACCTGGACGAAAAACTGAAGATTTGTACTTCATGAATACATTTCCAGGTTTCCTTTTCATTTTTTTCACTGAAGTGTTCCTTTAAATATTTGTTTTAGATTTTGTATACCAAGAAATACAACCAGTTGCTATAGCTGTGTCATAAAAGTGCATGCTGTGCATCATGTAATGATAGTAATTAAATATATGTTGGTTTCAGGTTACTCCATAGTACAGGCCACTGCCTTATTCAGCACTGAGTAAACCAAGACTTATTCTTTGAGGGCAGAGAAATTGTAGTGCTGGAAAGAACAGATGTATAATTTCATATCTTCTACACCCTGACATTTAAAGTACAGACATATCGAATATATTTGGTAAAAAGCACTTTTTACTTCAGAGGAGAAGTAGAGTGGCATACAGTATAATGTAATTAAATACAGTATAAAGATACAAAATATGTGTAGTTTTGAGGCACTCAGACCTTTTTACATTGAGTGAAAATGATGTTCCTAATTTTATTTAATAAAATGTTCTGGCTCCTCTTAACTCGTGAATTGTGTTAGCATCAGAGAGGAAAAAAATATGTATTTTTGTGAACAGCTTATTCTAATGCTGGCCATACGCGGTTAGATAATCCTTTGAAAAAGTGTTCGATATGCTCAATCGTTCAACTTTCAAAACGTTAGCAGGCTAATTTCGATTATCGAAATGCCAAGTTTAATGTCGGATATTTTGAGCCTAAACCATCAATTTTGGAAACATTAGTATTGAAATCGATCAAAAAGAGTTGGAAAAATCTACAGCGCATGTTAAAATGTGCCCCGGTAGTCGATTCAACAAACAACAAAAGGAAACATTGTGTAATCAATTGGCAAAAAAATTTACCATTTATGTTGTTATCAATCGATAATATTTCAATTATTCCATGACATCTATCAACACAATGATGGCATTATCATATGCCTGTTCGACAGGTATTTAGAAATCTGACTGTTTTTTTCAAACGATTTTCTAACCATGTATGGCCGGCATTATCCTACTAAAAGAGTATGACAATACATTTTTGTCCATACTTCTCTTCTGGGTCACAGGAGTGCACTTATATTTGCTCTCCTGTGACCCAGCATCAGATGACAACATGGTAAAGCCCGCTAACGTCACAGAGCCGCTCCAGGCTCTAGAAAAGTCCTGACCTTACTGTCAGGATCCACTCAGCTGCCTGATGGACAGCTGGCTATGGTTCTCAGCGCCCAGCTAAGAGCCAAAGCCAGCTGCGGCCTCCCCCTCTCCAGCCCAGCACTTCACTGAGCGCTGGAGGACAGAGCAGGGAACGGTGAGCAGACTAAGAACTGTGAGATTATTAACCAATCAGCTTCTAACCTCAGCCTTTTTAGGTAAGGTTTGAAAATGAAAGCTACAAGATGATCAGTTGACATGCTCTGCTGCTCCAACTTCTGTCTGCTCCAATCTTAGGTTTTGTTTTATTCTTGCAGTTGGGGGCTGCGAAATTTGCATGGTTGAACCATGCTTTTATTGCCCCCCTTCCACTCGCCCTTAAGCTTCAGAGTAGCAGAGGAGAGATATATGTATGCCGTGGGTGTGAAGTTTTGTATTGTGGCCCAGTAACAATTATTCCCGCTGTTTGCATTTGGTGGCGGCACTGCTCAACTTGTACCCATTCAACTGAATCATGTACAATGCCTTCACCAATGCATTAGTCTCTAAGCCTCTGCTGTTATGGTGGAATGTTGGGTTGTTCTGACAGTGTAATGTTGGAGTGTGTCACTAATTTCTTCTTTCCACACATTCTTTTAGACACATCACAATGACTGGCTCTCATACTGGCCAATATGAATATGCAGGAGGCAGGAAAAAGGGGAGAGGGGCAGGTTTAGCACTATTAGGAATATCCCAACATGTGGTTATAAAAACAGGGTATTGGAGGCTTCTGCGGGTATGCCTGCACCTTATACCTACAAGTATAGTTATACCTACAAGTAGAGTTTTTTTTTCTCTTTATTTCCTTAATGACAGGTTTTTAAAGTGGAATGAAAGTCTTTAATAATTTCTCAAGTTTGCCATCTTTGGCCATCTTTAACTAAATTGTTAACATCTGTGGTCATGGCAGTGATCACAAGGTGCCGAGCCACACTGATCGGGTCTTTACACAGTATCTGAGACACTAACGGCTGCCTGAGGGCTCTTTCTGGAGTGATGTTTATAATCAGCATTCCAGATATGTAGTATATTCTTCAGTTTTTTAAAAGGCAGTAGTAGGGTGATTAATTGCGGCTTTTAAAGTGTTGGATCAAAGAAATATATATTTTTTCTAAACTGTATAAAAGTTTTATATATTACGACTTACTAGTCCTTAGATACGGGTGGTTGCATCTGTTTTATTTATTTATTTTTTTTTACTATATCTATGGAGGAGCAGTGTTGTCATGTCATCTTATGAGACTTCCCTATGCTGTGGAGAGAGGGAAGTGTTCTGCATTTCACCGAGGCGAACTATAATCCGGGCACCTGTCAGATGCCGGGATGAATGAACTGCCATGCGCGCTTGTGCAGGAGTAATTTCATGCTGGGCCAGCCTATCAAGATGGCAGAAGATGCCGCACTTGGAGGAAGCCAGATAGAAGATGTCACTGCCTGTCAAGGGAGTCTGTGGATGTGGTTTTGCTAAAGCAGAGGAGTGTGTAGTTGTACTATAACAATTTTGCATTACTGCCAAAACTAAAGTGTATCCAAAATGTGAAAAACACACAGTGGCAGTAGACTCATTGCAGTGTTAGAGTAATGAGTAAAGAGCTTTGCGGCCTGTAGTCACATGATAAAAGGATGAACATAGTAAAGCAAGATATTTTCTTAAACTTTAATTTAGTAAGCTTTGTGCTGACATCACTTGGCTTACATTGTCCACCACTATTACAGGGTGTTGTATGCTAACTTCAGAGACACCTCACAAATTGTTCAGGACCTTCACTTTCCTGCCTAGAGTTATGCTTTATTCAGGATCAAGGCATTTAACGTATTATTATGTACATACTCTATATTCAGAGCTATATGGCCCATAACCAAATCAAGGCCTAATTGCTAATAAAAAAAAAAAAAACTGGACCAACCTGGAAAGCATAGCAATCTTTAACATGTTTCTTTTTTTCTTCTTAGGGTTTCCTGTGCGGTTGATACCAGCTGGTTCAGGCAGAGGGGATGGTCTTAGCGCTAAGAACCGGAAGAGAATAATGCCCGACCCCCTGACAGAGCCTTCGGCACTTGATCCACTGTATGAAGCCAACCTGTACTGTAACACTCCTGGCGTAACAGAGCGGAGTATGGAAGGTACAGTTATGACCCAAAGTAATCTTTAAAAAGAGGGAAGCAGAGAATGGGATTACCAGAGTATGACACAGTAATTAGACTGTAGACCAATTTACTAAAAGTACATACATTTATTTTATTACACTTGATTAAAAACCTCATTCAAAGGTGAATCTCCGCATGCTACGCTTAGGCATATAGCAGCCTAGTAGGGATACAGATTTAAAGTGTATGTAAACCCTAAAAATTAACTTCTTTTATTTGCTTCCGTTTTCATCTGCTAGATATATTATTGAAGGTGTTCTGCTATATCTGTTCAATAAGTGCAAAAAATACCTGTTGACTTTTATAGGAATCTTGTGTGCTCAAAACTGTGTATGTATGTGTGTGTGTACATGTATGTATGCGTGTGTGTGTGTATGTGTATATATATATATATATATATATATATATATATATATATATATATATATAATATTTTTTTTTTTTTTTTCTTTCTATAATACAGGGTGTCCCTAAAGTCTGGACACATAGGAAATAACACTATGTGTGTGTGCGTGCGTGCGTGTATAGTATATCACTATATAATCTCACCAGCCCTTAACCCCCTTAACTTCTTTTTCTGGGGTAAGCTAAAGAGTTGACGGAAATGTGGAGTTACTGCATGTGAAATATTGCAAAGCACATGTAACTTTGCATCACAAGTGGTGTAAATCACATTGAAGATGCTATTGATTACTATTCCATTGAAATAAAATGTTGTTGAAAAGTATATTGAAAATATGAATTTTGTCTGTGTGTACAGACTTTAGGGATACCCTGTATAAAAACTCACACAGTTGCATATATACTGTATATAAAGAGGACGAATGCATTTATTGTTCAGTAGAACATTAGTCTGTTTCACAATAAGTACCTTACTGCTGATTATAGATGATCCCTCAGATAGCGTAGTTTGTTCATGTATCCTGAATCTTTAAATGCAATATGCACATAGAACAGAACCCAAGCCCCGAGAAGTTGTCATGGGAAATAGGATGCCTAATTGAAGAGAAAACAAATCATTCTTGCATGTGCTGTGACTTGCAGGTAATAAAGGAAGGATTAAAGTGATATTAAAGGCTCAGATAAATAACAAACATGTCATACGTTTCTGCTCTGTGCAGTGATTTTGCAGAGAGCAGCCCTGATCCTCCTCTTCTCCCATCCGCGCTACTGGCCCTGTCCCCCATACCCAATGTTCCCATAGAAAGTCGCTTACTATGAGGGCACTGGTACGTGCTCTTTCACAAGCCTGCTCTGTGTGTCTGAGACACACAGAGCATGGCACAGTCCCGCCCCCTCTTTTTCCTGACTTACTGTGAGTGACAGCAGTGGGAGCCAATGGCTCCCCCTGCTGTGTCTCAGCCAACGAGGAAAGAGAAACCCAGGAGAGCTGAGACTCCTGTGCACAGCGCTGGATCAGGGTTGGCTCAGGTAAGTATTAGGCAGGGCTGTGCAGGGAGTAACACATAGGTTTTTTTACCTTCTTGAATAGAATGCATGAAGGTAAAAAAACTTCAGCCTTTGCAACTACTTTTAATGCATTTTAAAAAAAAAAAAATTCTTAAACTTTGTCTTCCAATTTTGTTACTTATTCAGTGATCTTTTTCGTTGGGTCACTAATAGCAAATTTTCTTGGGTGCTGGCTGTAAGGTAATAGGTGCAAACCAGTAAGTATACGAATGTAATCACTTACAGTATGTTGTCTTGACACAGTTGTACATTCTATCAGCACTTTTTTGCATGCATTAGTTCTGACCGTGTATGTAGAATAACAGTGACATCTAGACTGACCCAAAGCTGATATTTACATTTTGGGTGGGTGTTGAGAAGATACAACTCCCACCAGCTTCCTATTACTTTTCCTGGTGACTCTGCAATTCACAGCCCAGGTCCACCCACATCACATCTATTAGGAAAGAGTGTCACTCTTCCCATTTTTGTTAATTATTTGACATTACAGATAATGTAAAGTTTTGGTTCATGGAATCAGCAGAGCTGGGATCATGGATATTTTGGCCCCAGTTTCTTCAGCATATAAAGGAAACCTGTGGCTGATTCAACCACAGTAAAATAAAAAAAAAAAAAAAAGAGTAGCTCTAAAGGAAATCTTTGTATATATCTTTCTCCTATTATGGCCTGGGTAAATATAATACATTTCGTACAATTATTTGTTCTGTTCACAGGTAGCCAGCAGTTGGAACCTTTTGGCTTCATTTTGCAGGTTTTCTAGTTATTGAAATTAGCCAGTTATTTACAGAACTTAGCTCAAGCAGACATTTTATGTTTCCAATGGATGATTTAGAACATTAACTCGTCCCCCTCTCTACTTTCCATTAGTTAGCTTTGTCTGAGGTTTTTAATTAAAGGCAGGGAGGAATAACAAAGGGAAATATATAATTAGTGTAAATATAGGCTATTTTTCTATGCGCCAAATCAGCAATGCCATTACACAAGTTCTACATGTTGAAACCAAATAGCTTTAAGTGATATGTCCAATATTGTGACATTGTCCAATAGCATACACCAAAAAATGTAAGTACTTTCACCAATGTTCTAAGTTAAAAATTGTTCCAAAATGTGCACCATTGCAATGGCATAATTACTCTAGTGAGAAGGGCAGACAGTGAGGAGGAGCACCGCAAGAGGGAGATGAGAGGTGGATGTGTATGGACAGACTCTTCATCACTTTCATGCATAAAAGTGACAAATGGTTGTGCAATGCTTATATTTGTTTGACAGATAAAACTCTAAATAAGGGTGCATATAGAAATTGGTGCATTTAGTCCATGCGCCAATCTTTAATCCTCTGAAAGTTTCTGCAAGGGAAAAATTGCTCTTAACGTTCTGAGGGTCCTTTATTAAGGTATGTATAGTCTGTATTATAGGATACCCTGAGCTGTGCTCAGACCAACACCCATTGCCTGAGCAATATGTTAAATTCCTAGCCCAACACTGTCATTCTGACTTCCCACGATCCTGCATTACTGTTTTTGTCTAGAAGCTTTGGCTTTAATTTTGGCTATGCTTTTTCCTGGTCTGCCCTAACCTTTGACCTGTCCCCATTTCTGAAATTGCCCATTCGCTTAGTACCATGCTCTGGTTCTATCTCTGCTCTGATGCCATCTTCACAGGTGTGTCAGCGGGATGCAACCTAGTAACCCACCAGGAAAGTCCATCACTCTTTGTGGGTTGAGCTCGTGGATTGTGCTTATTCTACTTCTCTGGAATTTTTAGGGTTCACACCTTCTCTAAACATGCAGATAGCACAAAAGGTCCACTATTCAGTATGTCCATGACAATAGTAAACTAATTTTCTACAATTAATTGCTTAATATATATATATACAAGGCGGTATCAAAAAGTTTCAAGACTAGTTTTGTAACATGCCAACAGATGGCAGCACACGGCTGCACGCACAGTCACAGGTAGCAGCCAACCTTCATAAGTCAATGTGCCAAAAAAATCGACCTGTGTAGATCGGGAGCTGTGCAACTGTACTATTCTTTTACCATGTCTGCTATTTCATGATGGACAGCAAGTTCAAACAAAGAGCAAACATGAAATTCTGCGTGAAATCCGTACACCTAGGTTTCATCGCCAACAATGATCCTCAACAGGACGGGTCATCCACAGCACGTTGATAGTGCTCTTGCTGGACTTCGATGCTGTGCTCCTTCTGCTCCAGGATCAGCAGCCTGGGGATAAACTTGGCAGCAACACAGCACATGTTTAAATCACACGTGAGGATTGCCTGGACTGTTCCGTATGACACACAGACAATGGCAGTAATGTTGTAGATTGTTCTTTGACTATCTTCATGCACGAGTTGCCAAGTGGTTTTGACATTTTTGGGGGTTGGACTAGTTGAAGGTCTTCCTGATCTTTCGTCATCTTCCAGTGACGTTCTTCCACTCAAGCGTATGCCACTCAAAACACCTCGAATGACTCATTGCAGTATACTGCCGTAAACTTGCCGAATCACGTCAAACTTCTCTGTGGCAGATTTGCCCAGTTTCACACAGAATTCCACATTTGCTCTTTGTTCTAACTTGCTGTCCATGATGAAATAGCAGACGTGGTAATGCTCGTGGTCAGAATATCACTAGTACACAGGACAATGTCTTTTGTCACACTGGTTTATGAAGGCTGTAACCGTGCATCTGTTGGCGTGTTAACAAACTAGTCTCTAAACTTTTTGATACCACCTTCTTTATATTTGTATATGTACAATATATTGCCAAAAGTATTGGGACGCCTGCCTTTACAAGCACATGAACTTTAATGGCATCCCAGTCTTAGTCCATAGTGTTTAATATTGAGTTGACCCACCCTTTGCAGCTATAACAGCTTCAGCTCTTCTGGGAAGGCTGTCCACAAGGTTTAGGAGTGTGTTTATGGGAATGTTTGACCATTCTTCCAGAAACTCATTTGTGAGGTCAGGCACTGGTGTCTGACAAGGCCTGGCTGGCAGTCTCTGTTCTAATTCATCCCAAAGGTGTTTTATCAGGTTGAGGTCAGGACTTTGTGCAGGCCAGTCAAGTTCCTCCACCCCAAACTTGCTCATCCAAGTCTTTATGGACCTTGCTTTGTGCATGGTGCGCAGTCATGTTGGAACAGGAAGGGGCTATCCCCAAACTGTTCCCACAAAGTTGGGAGCATGAAATTGTCCAAAATGTCTTGGTATGCTGACTCCTTAAGAATTCCCTTCACTGGAATGAAGGGGCCAAGCCCAACCCCTGAAAAACAACCCCACACCATAATCCCCCCTCCACCAAACTTTACACTTGGCACAATGCAGTCAGGCAAGTACCGTTTTCCTGGCAGCCGCCAAACCCAGACACGTCCATCAGATTGCCAGATGACAGAATCGTGAGTCGACACTCCAGTGAACATGTCTCTACTGCTCTAGAATCCAGTGGCGGCGTGCTTTACACCAATGCATCCGACACTTTACATTGCACTTGGTAATGTAAGGCTTGGATGCAGCTGCTCGGCCACGGAAACCCATTCCATGAAGCTCTCTACGCACTGTTGTTGTGCTAATCTGAAAGGGACATGAAGTTTGGAGGTCTTTTAGCTATTGACTGTGCAGACAGTTGGTGACTTCTGTGCACTTTGCACCTCAGCATGCGCTGATGTCACTCTGTCATTTTATGTGGCCTACCACTTTGTGGCTGAGTTGCTGTTCCCAATTTCTTACACTTTGTTATAATACCACTATCAGTTGACTGTGGAATATTTAGTAGCAAGGAAATTTCACAGATGGACTTATTGCACAGGTGGCAACCCATCACAGTACCAGGCTGGAATTCACTGAGCTCTTGAGAGTGACCCATTGTTTCATAAATGTTTGAATTCAATGATTTGGAGGGGTGCCCCAATACTTTTGTCAATATAGTGTGTGTGGGTGCATGTGTATATATATATAGTATGTATATATATAATATGTGTGTGTATATATATATATATATATTATTGCAGAAAGAGCAGTCCTTTTATGAAAGGTTCAGTTACTTTTGCTTTTAATCTAATAATTGTACATAAGAGAGACGTAAATCTTCCTCCCCTTCCCTTTGCACCTGTACATGGTAGCTTGCCATATACTGTAGGTCTTCCAGTGGTGGAAGGACTTTTAAGCCTCATTAACGGGGGTGTACTAAATGTGAAGAGGCCGTATTCACCTACATGGGATGCACAGGGGTTTCGTGTAGACCTGTGCAGGTAGCCTTCTCAAATCTGTACAAGTCCAATGCATGGATCAGGATGCAGATAGACTGCATTCTGATCCTTGCATTGGACACACATGGTTGTAGACTCTAGGATCCGCATGGAGATCTGTACAGCCAGTCACCTGTCATTGATTTGAACTGTGTATCCTGCATAGATGAAGACGTCCCCTTCACACAGGCATACATCTATATAAATACACAAAATAATACATATATAGAAAATAGAAAAATATTTTTTTCATATGTAAATAAATGTTCATAAATATACTTGTTTATGAATTAAGGGAATCAAATAGGTACAATAGGGAAATCAAATAAAGCTACAAGGTGTTTTAAATTCTCCATCCCTCAAAAAAATAGAGTATATAGTGTCATTTTTGCAGTGGAGAAGTATGTGAGGTACACTTACTTGGTCAAAAAAGTATCTCTGAACACACCACGTGCTTCCCAAACTGCAGCAAAATGGCGTGTGCGGTCACGGTGGGATGCGGACATGATATCAAGGCCCACGCATGAGCCCCGCAGACCCAGAACTCCATCTCAGACCGTCCACTAAACCTACAAGTCTATGGATGGAAATGAGGCTTGAGTAACAAGGAAGCCATAAGTCGCTGATCGCCGCCATTATTAGTATAAAAAAAAAAATTAAAAATCCCAGTATCTTTACCGCCATTTGTAAACGCTACAACTTTCACGTAAACCAATTAATTTACACGTATTGGTTTTTTTTTTAGCAAAGACATGTCACAGAATGAGTTTTCGCCGAAATATATGACGAAATTTGATTTTTAAATTTTTTTTTACTGTACATGTTTTATAGCAAAAAGTCCAAAATATTGTTTTTTTTCTCAAAATTGTCAGCCTTTTTTTTATAGCGCACAGGCGATCAAATACCACCGAAAGAAAGCTCTATTTGTGTGAAAAAAAGGACATAAATTTAATTTCATGTATTATGTAGTTTGTAGACGCTATATCTTCCACACAAAGCAATCAATATACACTTATTGGGATTTTTTTTTGCCAAAAACATGTAGCAGAATACATTTTGGCCTAAATTTATAACTAACTTTGAGTTTACTATATATTTTTTATAGCTGAAAGTAAAAAATATAGTTTTTCTTTAAAATTTTTGGTCTTTTTGTTTATAGCGTGAAAAATAAAAAGCGCACAGGTGATCAAATACCACCGAAAGAAAGCTCTATTTGTGAGAAAAAAAGTACGTAAATTTTGTTTGGGTGCAGCATTGCATGACCGCACAATTATCAGTTGAATTAGTGCAGCGCCGAGTAGCAAAAAGAGGCCTGGTCATTAAGGGGGGAAAATCCTCAGGAGGGCAAGTGGTTAATGGGGACACAGACGGTAATAAAAAGTTGGAATGGTGTTCTAATTCTTTTCCACTCTATCCAAAACTAAAAAAAAGTGTTGTCTTTAGTTATACTTTAAAGTCAACAATTTATATACAGTTATGTATATTTTACTAAAATAATGATTGGACTTAGATGATTGTAATACGATTAAATTATAGTTAAGCATGTTGTGTGGATTACTGCACTATTATATTTCTTTTTTGCACCATTTGTTGAAAAAGCCTCTTATTTTGTCTCCTTTTACAAACAATTTTGGCAGTCATTATCAGGTATATTTTATTTATTATCATTAAAATCGTATTGGAAACATTGTTAAAAATTGCAGAAAACTGCCAATTAAATATGAATTCTCAGTTGTGCTGTGAAAGTTCTATCTCTATGTGGGGCTCATGACCTATAGTCTATAGAACTTCCTCTTTTACTGAAAGTGCCTGTGCTAAACTTGAAACAGGAAATCAAAACTAGACAGAAGTGTGAGAGTGGTTTTTGGTCTCTATTTCAGGCTGTTTCTTATTATCACCATAAATGTGTGTGGCATATGAAATTCTTGTACTATGACTGGACTCCTTTGTACTACTTTGCCTCGTCACATATCATTCACCAATAAATGTAATGCTTTATAAAATGTGCTTATGCAAGAAGCAAACAAAGTTTAAATTGCAGAGTGTGTAACTCATAGCAACCAGTTAGCTTTCAGCTTACAAAATCAAATTTTCCAATATATTACTTTAGCATGGTGGTTGTAAATGACTGCTTTGTGCTCTTTGTATTGAATAAAACTAAAAGTATTTGAATAAAACTTTGTAGCCCTACAAACTAAGAATCAAATGAATAACTGCACTGCAAAATGGCAGTTGAATAATCAGTTTGCTGTGGAGCATGCAAACAGTCCGTATTTCAGTTAAACTTTTAATAAATAAAACCAATGTTGTTCTTTTGTTTAGATTTCTAGTAGTAAAGATTCAGTTCTTGTCCACTAAAAAGTGATAATTATGTATTACCTTCTCCAGTAGCGTCTGGATTTTGTACATGTCTGGTTCAGGCATTTTGCACTTTTTTGTAAATATATTCTGTAGTTAAACTCCTATGTTTTTTCCCATGTTTAGGCCATGCACCACACAACTTGAAACTGGTTTCTGTCCAGGTGATGATCCGTCATGGAGACAGGTATCCATTGTATGCGATTCCCAGGACCAAGAGACCTGATATTGACTGTGTGCTGGAGCCTGACAGGTACAGTACATGTTCCTTTGGTATTCTTATACTCATGTATAGCTATGTTTGCATTTGATGTATTGTAATTTTGCAATAAGACCCGATCTTTCAATGTGACTTAAGAGCATCAGAAACGATCAAATCCTTCACTCCCTATCTTGCACCTTACGATAAGGGCAAATGCATGCCTAATTGACTGCATATTATTGTCTCTTCCTACTTAAGCACAATCCAAAATTGTATTCCAGTTTGGGGTAGATGGCAGCAGGTTGAATCATGTGAATCATGGCCTTTTATGTATCTCACACTGGCAAGATGTCTATGTCACACCTGCCATAACTATTAACTCCTTCCCCCTGCTGGATTTTCCATATATTCAACAATATCAAAAATTTTGTATCTGACATTTCCACCACAGCAAGCAAGGCTTTGTTGGCGTGGAGTGCAGAGCTTGAACCTCAGTTGGTCTGATTTCACCCATAAAAAGATGAGGCTAGTTGATTTAATTTGCCAGTACCCACCAAAACTGAAATAGTTGTTGAGTGGTAACTGTAGCTTATCTGACACATTTCATGTGCATTTACACTGTTATTGATAACTGTTTTATGCAGAAGTCCATCTCATCCTAACTTGGCAGATTTTGTCAATCACATGAAGAAAGGCTCAGAAGCACAAATGGATGGTACTTTGAATAGTCTGGCTCGTTTTCCTAGTCATTCTATTTGTGAAATGGGAGAGTTAACACAGACAGGTAAGCCCACCTACATCAGTATCAGAAAGACAGCTTGCAGTTTTAATACAAATCGTCATTAGTGACTCATATATAGCTGTCCTCACAATACATCCTCTTCTCATAGTAATAGGTAGATATTTTAATATTAATTAGTGGTACATTGCATGATCCTTTTTGCTATTTAAAACAGGCTTTGCATGAAAATGCAAGGTATGCTTCTTTTGTAGCCCACCCCTATTCCCCCAATAAAATCTGCCAATTGAAGAAAAAAACAATTATAAAATGTTGAAAGAAAAAAGTAAAGGTTTCTTCTCACAAAATGTAGGCTTTCCAGATTTCCCAGGCTTTCCAGAAGACAAAGGCTCAGTGGTTTCATCCTTCAGACAAGCTCACAAGACAGTGGCTAAATGATTAGCACTTCCTCCTGGCAGTACTAGGGTAATTGGTTCAAATCCCAACTATGGAACCACCTGCCTGGAGTTTGCATGTTCTCCCTGTGTCTGCATGGGTTTCCTCCGGGTACCCCGGTTTCCTCCCACACTCCAAAGACATGCCCGTAGGTTAATTGGATCCTGTCTAAATTTGCCTTAGTGTGTGTATGTATGAATGTGAGTTAGGGACCTTAGATTGTACGCCCCTTGAGGGTTAGGGACTGATGTGAATGTACAATATATATGTGAAGTGCTGCATAAATTGACGGCGCTATATAAATACCTGTAATAAAATATTAATAAAAATAAGGCAGGGTGTAAAGTGAGTAACTTTTTTCTTTTAACGCAGTAGTAAAGTCCAATAAAAGAAAAAAAAAAAACCTGGGTGGTTTAAGTCATAATTAAGTCACTATGACAGACTTGCCTTAAAGTGAAGGCCTCCAGCGGCGCACTGTCACTGCTGCCGGTGGTTCCGTCTTTCTTCCAGGTTTCAAGCTCCAGCGATTTTCCTGGCCCTGTCGCAATGATGTCAGTCCCACACATTCACGTGGAAGTCACGGACGTAGTATAGTGCTCTCAACGGATGGCATACTCCAGTATGCCATCCGTTTAGAGGGCAGTGGGCATGTGGAATCTACAAATGTGAATATCTGCTAAAGGGTACACGTTTAGGAGATATTCACTGTACCTACAGGTAATCCTGCTTATACAAGGTGGTATCAAAAAGATTGTAGAATAGTTTTTGTAACACGCCAACAGATGGCAGCACAAGGCTGCGTGCACAATCCCAGGGAGCACCGCTCTTCAAAAGTCAGTGTGTCAAAAGGCAGAAGTAGTAACGCACGCTGTCACAATAGCACCAGTTACACAGCTCCCAATGTACACAGGATGATGTCTTTTGGCATACTGACTTATGAAGGTCGGTGTTCCCTTTGACTGTGCGGGCAGCTTTGTCCTGCCATCTGTTTGAGTGTTACAAAACTAGTCTCAAAACTTTCTGATACCACCTCATAGGCTTTCTTGTAGGTACAAGTCATAAAGCAGACTTTACTACCCCTTATAATGCTTTCTTTTTCCACTTAGCATTTCTTAATGGAAGGGGGGGGAAGGGGAGAGCTACAATAAGAAACAGACCTTGCACCATGTTTTACTGCACATTTGTAAAGTCCCCTCTTTTTCAGTAAGAAACCTCTAACTTCTGCAAACTGATTTGTGTGCATAATGCAGGTGTTGTTCAGCATCTACAGAATGGACAGATTCTAAAAGAGAACTACTTAAAGAAGCATAAGCTGATACCAAATGACTGGACCACAAAGCACCTTTATCTTGAATCCACTGGAAAGAGCCGGACACTTCAAAGTGGGCTGGCCTTACTCTACAGCCTCCTGCCTGGCTTTGATTGGAAGAAGATAAACATTAAACACCAGTGGAGCAGTATCTTCTGCTCTGGTCACTGCGAATGCCCAATGAGGAACCACTATCTAGAGGAAGAGCAGCGCCGCCAGTACAGCTTTCGAGTAAAAAACAGCCAGCTGGAGAAAACTTACATTAGTATGGCCAAGGTGGTTGGGGTCCCCACTCGCCAGTTAAGAGCCTCAAACCCCATTGACTCATTACTGTGCCATTTCTGCCACAATGTAAGTTTCCCCTGCACCAAAAATGGCTGCATTGACATTGAGCACTTTAAGGTAATTAAATCTCATCAAATAGAGGATGAAAAGGAAAGACATGAAAAGCAGCTTTATTACAGGTATGCACTACTTGCTACCCACCCCCTTTTAAACCAGACTGTAAACCGAATGCAGCGTATAGCTGAAGGCAAAAAGGATGAAGTGTTTGCCTTATATTCTGCCCATGATGTCACTCTTTCCCCAGTCCTCAGTGCCATCGGGCTCACAGAAGCCAGGTTTCCTCGATTTGCAGCCCGCTTGGTCTTTGAGCTGTGGCAGAACTTGGAGAAAGCGAAAGAACACTTCGTCAGGGTTCTGTATAACGGGGAGGATGTCACATATCAAACATCATTTTGCCGTACCCATGACAGACGCTTAAGTCAGCCATTGTGTCCTCTTGGGAAGTTTGTCAACTTTGTGAAAAAAGAAATGTTCTCCGTTCTTAACAGCACTAGTTACCATGATGCTTGTCATCAAAGGCTGTTCTAGACCAAAATTAACAGCAAGAAGCCTATCAATTCAGATTTACGTCCAACCATGTACAGGAAACATCCTTCATGCTTTATTAATGTGACATGTAAATGTTAATTTTGTGTTTCTGCACTGGGTTAAGCAGGTTTATGTTGACAGCTTGAAGTGCATCAGAGCTGTCAAATGACCAATTCAACTGCCATGCAGTTTTTTTTTTTCCTTTACACAAACACAATGTCACTTAAGTAATTAGTGAAAGAACATCAGCATTCTATAGAAGGCCCCAGGCAATGGTTTAATGTTCAATTGTATGACCTGCAATGTAGTATCATATCATTTTAGAGACTGAATGTATTAAGCATATTTGTGCCTACATTATGTTATGTGTCTTATAAACATATACATTAATCTATGGCATTTACTAGATCCAAACCAGAATGAATGTGCAAAAAAAAGAAAAACTGGACGCACACAGTAGGATGTTAACTGGTTAGTTCACCAAGTTTACAGTGTAATACAAGACTCACACTACTAAATCTAAATTGTTTATTAAAGCACACCTAAAATTCTAGGTTTTTTTTAAATGTGCATACCCTTCCCTTTTGCAAAAACATGGAGTTAAAAGTGCAGAAAAAAACTCTTGTAGGGGAAAAATGATATATAATATACTCCACTTTTCCCTGGCTTCCACCTGTGGCACCAAGACAAGGTGAAAAAAACCATAGCGTGGCATCCCCATGAGCTGTGAACTACTTCAGCGGCATAAGTCTTGCCTTTTTTGTGTCCTCTCTCCTACTGAAATTCTCAAGGAAGTCACTTCTTGTGCCTACCACTTGGTCCAGCCCTGTGTACCACCTAGGCAAGGGTGATGTAATTCTCCTTCCAGCAAGATATGGGGATTGTAGAGCAGCACATATCTTGATAATACAACTTTACCAGCACTGTACTGCAGTGTCTTCTTGCAAGACTGGTAGTACTCCCCATTCCTGGGATCTCAACAGTAAGATGATGACCTCACCTCTACATTACAGAAGCTGGAAGAAAGATGAATATAAATATCTAACATTTTTTAAACTTTTAAACAGCACTTTAGGAAGGGACACATTTAAAAGCAGATCCTGTATGCAGTGTATGGTCTGCTTTGAGGATGGCTCCACTTGTTACACAGTTGCTGGTAAATTTGACCAAAACTGTTGATGTTGGTGGCCATTTCTTGAAAGCTCATAAACTGCAGAATGGGCCCTTAAACTACTCCTGATCTTTTTAGTCCATTTGATTAAAATTTATTCAATGAAGAATGTAACCATAAAAAGACTCAGCTAGATAATTTCAGCGTAAGATACAATACCTAATTTGCCTTCTCCTCAGTACTGCTGTAGGCAAACGTTACCTAAATTGGGAAGGAATAAAGCAGATTGGACAGGATTATGTTTAAGACAACTCTCGGTTATTCTCTATGAGAAATCCCTTGTACATGGATGTCTTTTAGTAAATTGACAAGGACCTCATTTCTTGGATGTAAAGAACAGCCACAGTAGTCTTTATAGGGTGTTTTTGTAACCTCTACACGTTAACTTCTAATTACATGTTTAATGAACTGTTTTGGAGTCACTTTGATCATCATGTTCAAAGTAGCTTAACAGCTGACTTGTTTTTTAAATAATTGGCTATTAATATTGTTGAAGAAGTCAAACTTAAACTGAACAACAAATCACTAAACATACAACTGAAATACATATGCCTGAACTATTGTAGCAGTTAAGTTTTGTGACTGTTCAAGCATCTTTCTATTTCTCACATTTGTGCCACATTGCTCAGCCAGTGAGTAGAAAATGTAGCAATGTCACCTGACTGTCCCCATTCTACTGAATGGAAAAAGAAAAAGCAGCCGCAGCACACTGCTGAAGTCTTCTGTGTTCTCTTTTCCAGTAAATAAGTGTTCACAATGCTGGACTGACATTTCTGTGCTGTGCAAAAGAGCATGATCAACTGATTCTGCTGGCTTAGAATTTGTATGTGCTGGGGATTACCGGAAGCTAATATATAGACAAGATTGAAGTACTTTGTACCAGCTGTATATAAAAACATTTTTTACCAGACATAACTGGATTAAAAGGTTGTTTTTTAATGCCTGGAGTTGGGCTTTAAATATATTTAAGTTCCTGTATCATTTGAAACTACAGTTTTTTTACAGCAGTTTCTGGTTGGCATGTTGTGTGATGTCTTGAAATTCAAAGTCTAAACCTTCACTGTACCAAATCATTAATGTAGAATTTCAGATTTCAATGCACTTTTAAATAGGTTGTTTAAGCAAAAGTTGGTTCAGACAAACTATTTCCATTACAAAATGATGCAACCATTGTGTGTGTTTTAATACACTGTAGTAGCATTAGCTGCATACAGTAAGCAGCGCTGTATTCATCAGCAGTACAGGTAACATCCCATCTGCTGCCGAAAATTGGAGAGTCAGTGCTGAATGTTTTTTTGCCATTCAGGAGATGCCATATATTTTTTTATCAGTGAATATCATGTTTCCTCTGATTGTTTTAGGTGGAAATCATGACAGTATCTGCCCACCTCTCCCCCTCTGCCAATCAGAGGAGGTCATTGATACAAATTCAAGTTTCTCCTTTCTCCGGCAGCAGACAGGAGAATGCCTGTACTGCTGCCGAAACACAACAGCACCCTTTAACTATATGTCTAGCCAATGCTACTGAATGGCGGAGAAGCACTCAGATGATTCTCTTTATTTCCGGCAGCAGACAGGAGAATGCCTGTACTGCTGCCGAAACACAGCACCCTTTTACTATATGTAGCCAATGCTACTACAGTGCATTAAAGTATATGTGAACCTTCACCTTGTAAAACAGCCCTTTCAGTTTAACCACTTGCTGACCATGCTCTAGTGGACGGGCTTGGCATGGGCAGGCTGGATCACGTACATGTACATGATCAGGACTGCTATGGGTTAGGGGTGCACAGCACACCGCTACCACGACCGCTGTGTCCAACGGACAAATGTAATAATCTGGTTAATGCTTGAAAAAGACTTCAGGTACTCCTTCCTTGTTTTTTGTTACTGTGCATAATGTTTTATTATCAACCTTTAATTAATATGAAGATAAATGGTATTCTTCACAACTCAGCAAATATATAGTTTAAACAGTCTTTTGTGATAGCTGAATGAGAACCTTTATTTTCTCATGTAGTAGCTCAATGTTGTGAGGTCAAGAGACTGTAATGGCCACTTCAGAACCTTACTTTTTTTTTCTGCTGCAGCCACCGAACGATTGATTTTACTTTGTTTTAGATCATTGGCATACTGAAAAGTCCAAGTGTGCACTCACGTGCAGCTTCTGGGCTGAAAAATGCTAATTTCCCTCCATTAATTTCTAACATGCTACATTAGTCTTGCCATCACTTTTGACTAAATTCTCTTTGCACTAGTAGCTCCCACACCCCCAAAACAGCAGAGACTCACATCCATGCTTTGTGGTAGGGATGGTGTGTTTCTCTTTATAGGCCTTGTTGACTGCTCTCCAAATTGGCTTTCAATGCAAGCTGTGTTGCAATTGCAGTGGTGTCCTTGCACTCATGACTGTTCTGTTAAAACAGGTCTGAATAGTATACCCTTACCAATCACAAGCATGGTAGCTTTACCATATTTTTTATTTTTAGAACAACGTGGTCAAGATGGGCTTTTTCATGAAGTTTGAACTTAAAGTGTCTTGTTTATCCTTCCTTCCTCTGTCATGGTATCCTCTGTTTCCAGCATTGTCAGAGAGGTATTTTATTCTTCCTTTACATTGGAAAATTGTTGTAATGGACACCAACAAATGGAGTTTGGGTGGAGATTTGGACCATCTGTCTTTTCAGGTGTGTTGGTCTCTGGAAGAATCTGGAAGTATTCCAATCATCATCCTGGAGTTTTGAGCAATTCACCCCCTATTACTTCACTGGTATTAGTATACCAGTCATCTGGTCCAGGTTCAATAGGACAATGCCATTGCTGTGGCTTACATCAATTATCAGGGCGATATCGGGAGTGTTGCTGCATTGGCAGAAGTAAAATGTATCCTGTCCTTGGAGGAATTTTATATTCCAGCAGTGGCAGGCATATGTTCTTAACAGACAACACCTGGATGCAGGGGACTAGTCCCTCCATCGGGAAGTGTCTGAGTCATGTGAATTTACTAGCATCTTGGTTCAGCAATATGCATGACAGGCTTTTTATCAGGACACAGGGCCCAAAGATGGATGCATCAGATGCCCTGGTGGCACTG